CTCCCTGAGGTCGTCTGAGTCTCGCTGCTCTGCCCTATCTCTAAATTCCGGGGGGAGTCCTCCAACAAAAGCGTCAATCGCCATCGCCTCGGCCTCTCTTCTGTCGCCCGGCCATGCCTTGTGCGCTAGACTACAGCAATCGGAGGCAAAGTTCATCAATTCTTCTTTGGGACCCCAAGTGCGCTGACTCAGTCTACGTCGAGCCTGGTTCCTCTCCTCAGTACTCGCTTGTCGTAATAGATGTACGCGCACATCGCGCCAAGTCAGTATCTCTCTGTAGATCATCCTCAGTCGTCGTCGCGAAGACACGTTCAAAAGAGCTCTGAAGAGGCGAACTTGCTCATTTTCATCAATGTCGACAGCAGCACAGCAGTTTTCGTAGTATTTTACATAATCTTCTAATTTTTCTTATTCACGTTGAGGTCGCGCCTCAAACTTGATCTCGTAACGGCGCCTTGGAGGGATGACTTGATGTGCTCCAGCTCCCCCCAGCAGTTGCTGCTGAGCCTCAGCCATAACGCCGAAGGTTGTGGGTCCGTCCGGTATATAAAAGCAGGAAAGTTTGTTTCACTGCTTTGGAGCGCCGATGGAAGACACTCCAATCCCATCGTCGCCACCAAAATTCTTTACTTCTCTTGTGTGACCGGAAACACCGCTCACTGACCGCTGCGAAGTCGCAATAGTTATGAGTAGCGTGCCGACTTGATGGTGACTTGCGTATTGGTTTTAACACAAGGGCTAAAGAGTCGCTCTTTGGTCCGGCTCTAAATTCCCTTGCGTTTGGAGAGAGGAGAAATAAAGACGAGGAACTTTTCTTAATATATTGGTGATCTTCGGGCGATACACAATTCCTCTGTACAAGGCACACAATTTATTAGGTCCAAAAGCTCCGGGAAACAGGGTCTCAACCTCAGGGATACTACGTCGAGGAATCCTAATAAACTATTGAGGACCACAAAAGCGGACAGCAAGGATACGGGTACGAGCCGCACCACAAAACTGACGACCTCACAGGAGTGTACAGCAAGGATACGGGTACGAGCCGCACCACAAAACTGACAACCTCACAGGAGTGGACAGCAAGGATACGGGTACGAGCCGCACCACAAAACTGACAACCTCACAGGAGTGGACAGCAAGGATACGGGTACGAGCCGCCCACAAAATTGACCTCATAGGAGTGGAAAGCAAGGATACGGGTACGAGCCGCACCACAAAACTGACAACCTTACAGGGGTGGACAGCAAGGATACGGGTACGAGCCGTATCACAATGCCGACAACCAACGCAATGATCAGGGGTTCGAGCCCTAATGCACTGCCCAGAACACAGAACCGGGGTGGCAGTTACGCATCAAAAGCACGACTATTGCAGGGTACGAGCCTCCAATAAGCCGCTGACAATTTACTCGAGCGCAGAGGTTATTAGCCTCTACCTCGAGGGTGCGAATTGAACGGCTGTTAACTGCCCAACACAGCCAAAACCTGGAACTATCCAAGAACTCCACCTACGCCGTTATTAGTCCGTTAGAGGAACTCATTAAGAGTTATGCCCAGAACTGCGGTGGAGTTTATTCATGGAAGCACAAATTTGGCTCAGCCTTATTCGAGTCGAAACCGTGTCACCCCAACCCAGCACCACTGAGCACACACAACTTCCGAGCGCACACAACGAGGGGGTAACTCATCCAAAATGAGCTTACCTCAACACCCCGTTTACAATGTACAAAACTGACTGTAAACACTTCCTAAGTGCAAAAAATAGATAATATAATATAATACAATAAAGTCAACATATTTGCAATCATTTGGCAATCTAATCACAGTTAAAAATCTAATAATCTTAAACTAATTCCAAAGAGACCAAACTCTCCATCGTTCACGACTACCTAGCGCGCGTTATAACGAGGTTAGGAGCGGCTCAACCAATCACGTTGGAGCTACACCTTGTCTCGTCCCAAGACACTAACTAAATCCTACAAACACCACAGCTAGACGAGATTCCATATTACGGTCGCGAAATAAATATTCGTTTACACATTGCTTAGTCATAAATAAATTATACCCTTTAGTTAATGAAATAATATCACAGTTAAATGAGATTCCTTGTTGCAGTCACAAAATAAATGTTACAACAATTGACTAGTCACTAACCTAGCACAGGATTAATAGAACGTACAAGTAAACAAAAAATATACCACGAAATAAGCATCCCGTCATATATGCTATCTGAAACCTAACGTCAGATGCGGCGAACGTAAAATTACGTAATATAACGATGCCTGGAATTCATATTCGATCATGAGATTCCTTGTTGCAGTCACAAAATAAATGTTACAACAATTGACTAGTCACTAACCTAGCACAGGATTAATAGAACGTACAAGTAAACAACAAATATGCCACGAAATAAGCATCCCGTCATATATGCTATATGAAACCTAACGTGTGATGCGGCGAACGTAAAATTACGTAATATAACGATGCCTGGAATTCATATTCGATCCGCGGCCTGGTGGTGCACGGAAGGTGGTGGTCAAGGCCGGAAGAGGACAAAGCCGAGTGGTGCACGGCTGATTGGTGTAGTGTAGGTCCGGAGAGATCCAAGGCGTTCGATTAAGGGCTTATTGGTGCACAAAATTTGTGGTGCACGGCTGCGCTCCCGGTTGTAGCGGGACACGAAAACCCGTGGCGATTAGGGTTAAAAATTGGCCTGAGAAATACCGGTCGTTCCTCTATATATCCGTATAACTGGCAAACGAAGGCGAAATCGAAAAAAATTGTCGAGCTAAACATCATTGTTGGGAGGTTAGGTTTTCAAATACGAAGTTTCGTTCGAATCTGTTCAGTATTTTAGGAGAAATTCTATGCTCACTACAAATTTGAGCATGTATTGCTGTTTAAATCACGAATGTTGGAAAAATGAAAAAAATTGCAAACGAAGGCAAAATTAAAAAAATTGCCACGAGCTAATATAATAATATAATATATAATATAATATAATAGCGGTTTCAGCGTTAATTAGGCCGTAGGCCTGTCGCCGATTCTTAACATCGCAGAACGTTCACAGCTTCATGTGGTCTCGAACACACAACTCACTGCTCCAATTCTGCTGTGCTTAACCGCCCGGCCTCCTCGCCGATTCTGACCAGAAACTGGCGCACAGAGCTGGGATCGAACCCGCACCTCTCTGCGCCAATCTTGGTTCTCTGAACTTTAACCACTGGGCCACCCTGCCACTGTGGGAGTTTCACTAATCATCACCATTGGGAGTTTAGATTTCTATATTCAAAGTTTCGTTCAAATCTGTACAGTAATTTAGAAGAAATTGGAATTGGGATGCGTGGTGACCTACGGTCACGACCTTTAAATTGGTCATACACGCTGCCTAAAAAACTTTTACTAGCATCAAAAAAAATTAAAAGTTCACACTCTTATGTTAACAAAAAAATTCAAATATACCATATTCACAGCTGTCCTAAGAAAAAATATAAAAATTTGACAATCGCAAAAAATTAAAACCACGTACTAAAACAATTCGGCACGTTCACACGTCTTCCCACCCTCCCCTCTCTCAACCCTCCATTCCTCAAGAATCCACTCTTATCATCCTCCTCCTCTCCCTCATCCTCCTCCTCTCCCTCATCCTCCTCCTCTCCCTCATCCTCCACACGTTTTCCAAATATCTCTTCACACTCTCAAACATAGCCGCAGTTGCTCCCTCAGACAGACCCGTAATTATCGCCATCCACTCATCGCTTGTTCTCTCATGCCCCACCTTCTCCTTTCATTCCACCTGTATGTACGTCCATTCACACCTAGCGCGCCTGCCCTAACACAAAACAGAAGGTCCCCACCTCTACTACCATCATACATACATTCATATTTTGGCATCGCTTTCATCTGATACAGTCTTAGAGAGTCCTTTCCCTCCATTCCTTGCTTCCATACCTTCAGCCTATAGTCTTTCACTCGCTCATTTATTTCTCTTTTCCACTCTTTCATCCCACTCTATCCCAATCGCACCCCGTACTGTCACCACCCATTCGTCCTTTGGCCCAGCGGGCCTTTGGCGCACCCATGCTTCATGCATGCCACACTTACGCACCACTGCCCGACATCTGCGTGCCCATTTGCTCACCTTCATGTTCCATATATACATCTTTCGAGCCCAACGTTCATCATCCATTCGCTCCAGTCTCACTTTATACCTCAAAACTGCTCTCATTCTTCTTTCCTTGAAGGTACTCTTGAAGGTAAATGTCGTGCTCACTGCAAATTTCGGCACTTATCGTTATATAACTTACGATTGAAGATGAAATTTGAACAATTTTTACCAGCTAGACATCACCGTTAGGTCTTAATGAATATGTTTACCAAGTTTCATCGAGCTACGTTCATTTCTTCGGGAGATATTCCTTGCTCACTGAATTTGGGGAGACCGGTCGTAAATTTGTCCGAGACGTAAAAATCCTAGCGGTAAAATGCAGTTAACAAATGTAACGTGTCTCGATGCTTGTGCCTAATTTGCGAAATGCTTTTGAAATGGACCTAAAATGCGATGCTAGGACTTTGATATTGCCCTTATGCCATGAGTTAGAAACTTTATGTATAAATGATATTTGTTACGATGATAAAATACTGCTATTCAAATCTTTCTTTCTTATTTCATTCGCACCTATCTATCAATTACAAAAATATAGCACTGGAATGAAGGAAATAAATTATTTACATTCAAAAATTTTACAAGATATTCGCAAATATTAAAACATGTTATTTCATGTTAGCGGTAAATGAGTTCGGATACCGGATTCAGAAACGAAGTCTTATTTTTTACAAGTTCACCGAAATTCCTATTTGAGAAATTGGTCACCGATAACTCCAACATTTTATTAACATTTCATTGATGTTGATCATTTTTAATCGTCAAATCAGCTATACAAAATTTATTTCATTCCTAATACTTTCAAATTTAACACAGAGCACTGTAATCGAACAAAGTGGCTTGGGTTTCGCATTAGCGTCAGACTCAGGCATGCGGATACGCTGCTGTGAAAGCTTAGGCAAAGTAAGCCGCTAAAAATAGCGATGATACTATGGTGATATTTGCGAGCTGTGGGAGAGTGAGCTACAATTTGATCATTGGGTTATTAGCTCGGCGTCAAAGCCCTATTTCTTTGTGCAATCTGAAATTATTACAGAAAATGCCTTTTTATGCTGTTGCAAAAGGTGTGGTTCCTGGTATTTACACCGACTGGTAAGTTTAAACACGCTGAAACTCAGTTTCACTGAAAGGGTGGATGTCTGTCAGTCGACAGTCGCATTGTTTTACTATCAATTTTTACTTAGTATGCCCTTGTATTGAACCATATATATAGTTTGAATAAGTTAAATACTGAATTCTCATTCCAAATTTGACTGCATGTCATTAAAAAGACTGAATTACTATTGTGTACTGACACTGACAGGAATTTAAAACTAAAAGCAAAGTAAATAGCCAGAATATTAACAATTTCTTAAGAATGAATGAAACGTTTTGGAGTCCAGCTGGACCAGCTCCATTGCCAGTTCAGCAGTTCAAAAGTTTATAGGTAACCTATAAGAAAAGCAGAATCAATTAGAAAACTAAATTCACATCAAAGATAAAAAGATACCTAAATTGACAAAATAAAAAACAAATACACATAAGTTGACTGTTGACAGGCCTATCTAGTATCTACCTATGGCTATTTACATTTTCAAAGGGATAGGAGCTGAACTGCTGAAGGCTGCCCGGTGCGGGGTGGTGCTTGCTGCATTTAAACTTGGCTTCCGTTAAAAAATATACAGAGATTTTAAAATCCTTAGATCAGCAACACTGGTCCCGGTCACTTCCGGATCCGGTTGTCACGGGTTGTGTAAGCTAAAACTCTAAAATCACTATCGGAAAACTGGAACATTGCACTGCTCCTGCTGAGTGCTTGGCAATTTGGCATGGACATGCTCAACTGAATGAGGAGGATGCGCAAGTACCGTAAAATGGGGTAACTTAGACCGGCGGGGTAACTTAGACCACTTTTCGTTTTTTTAACAAAAACCCCCACAACTCAAAAACTATTTGACATAGAAAAATTTTGTTGATGGGCATTAAAGGCCTAATACTGAGGCTACATAACACAATAGAAAGATCTAAAAAATTTGCATATCTAATAGGTTAAAAAATTAAAAATGTGACCCACAAAAAAAAGCTATTATTTNAATGATCTCACCAGGTGGCATGCATTGTCTCTCTTTGGATCTCAATATTTTCCCACTAGATGGCCAAGACCTAGTGTTTTGGCAGTATTTTGATGCGTAAATGTATGACGTCACCATTTCAACCATCAACAAACGCATGGAACTAAAACAAAGCTTAATATAAAGGAAAAGCTGGAGAGGTGACGAAATTACCCACGATGTCGGAATATACCGCGTTTACCCTACATCTAATTAAGAAATTCATGTCTAGGCAATATAATGAAGTTGCTTCTGATTGTGACAGTAGCGGTAGGAACCTGATTTATTATTCTTTTCCCTACTTTGGTAAAGTATCTGAGACTATGGTTAAGGAATTGAAAGTTTTGATCAATATATATATATATAAATATCTTCCAAATTTTAATTTGTAAGTGATATTGGTGAATAACTTCAAAATCAGCTTGTTCATCAAGTATAAAGATGCTCTTCGTCTTTTTATGCATTCATCTCTAAGACTCTAGTATATGGATACGGTACAGTTGCTGTTGATGTTCCCCAAGTTCTGGTCAAGCCTGCGGCCTGGAAGCCCACGCCGTGCAAGAAAGCCGACCTCCGAGCTGGCTTGGACCATAACTGCATGATGGATGTTATGCCTGCCTGGAGCCTGGGTGCTGCCAGCTCCAGGCACTCGAGCAGAAGATGCTTGACAGTGTGGGGGAGTGAATGAAATTGGGGGCGCAGGTCTGTTTGAGTGCTGTCCAGGCGGTGTTTGTAAGAGTTTAGTAAGGGATGGTGACCGCAGCAGAGTATGTTGAGGTGCACCCTGTCTGCACGGCTCAACTGCTGTTCTGTATGGCTGATGTCTGGCGGTATGTCATCAATGATGCTGTTAATTGGTAGATTCAAGAGTGCGTTCCAGGTTAGGTGTACGTGACTGTGTGTATGTGTTTAATGAAGTTGGCTGGGTCTGTGGGTGGAGGTATGGAATTAGTTATTGTGAGATAGTAGTTGTATGGACTATGGAGTGTTGGCAATTTGTCTGGGTGTAGGGGGTAGGTACTGAAAGGATATGGATACAGTTGTGCACATCAGCATATGTCAGTATGACGTCTTGCTATTTTTACGCAAGGGTGGCAGAGCATAAGGGCAGAAGTTTTATGACGGGAACATTACTTGCACATCCTCCTCATTCAGCTGTGCGCGTCCATGCCAAGCAGTGCAATGTTCCGGTGTTCGATAGTGATTTTAGAGCTCTGGCTTACATGACTGGTGTTGCAGACCTAAATATTTTAGAATCCCTGTATATTTTTAAACAGAAACCAAGTTTAAATGCAGCCTTCAGCTCCAAACCCCTTGAAATTGTAAATAAATAGGCCTGTCACCTTATGTGTATTTGTTTTTATTTTGTCAATTTACATTTTATCTTTGATGAGAATTTAGTTTTATAATTGTTTCTGCTTTCCTTATAGGTTTTGAACTTTTGAACTGATGATGGAGCTGGACACCAAAACGTTTTCATTCTGAAGAAATGCTTAATGGTTTCACTTGTTCATAAACAAGTTTGGGCTCATTTTAAAGGCCTTTGCAAGGGCTATCATGTGGTATTACTGAAAAAATTCCATATGCTGTTGTTGTTGTTGTTGACCCTCCCCGCCTCGCTTCATGGCGCGAGGCGGGGCCTAGACCCAGTTCTGGGGCCAGCCAAGTCGGTCGCCCCAGCGGGCCAGCAGCCCTGCAGCGTTTACAGGGTCCGACCAAAGGTCACCCACCGACAGGGATGTGGGCATTTCAGGGCATCAGGCCGGCAGCACCAAAAAACATGGGCTTCGGGTCCCCCTTTCGGGGGACGGGGAGAGATTTGCTGTCGATTTGGGCCCGTATCCGGGCCGCGCTCCAACCGCAAGCAGGCCGACAGCATTTGGAGCAATTCCATATGCTCTTCGTAGGTGCCAGACACAAAATAAAAGCATCCCTAATTGCCCCTGGGACTGGGGTAATCCAGGACACTTGAAATAAAACTTATGCAGAGTTTACTCATGATCTCCTCCTCTTCTTCATGAGTGTACTCATGATCTCCTCCTCCTTTTCCTTCTTAGATGATGTAGATGTAGAATAAATGAAATTTTCTGCAATTTTTACTTGTTTTTACTTTATTATTGATATATTACCAATTTACCATTGCCATACATTACCTATTGTATTATTGATGTGATATTATATATATACTGTATCCATAGACATGGCCAATATGCCATTGAGCATTGAGTTGACAACAACCTTGTCCACTGCAAGCTTCATATCATCAGCCATATAGCATTTCTTCTGTATCTGTAAGCTTACAGGATGGCTTGTAATTTTGCACCATTTTAATTGGTTCAAGTGAATTCACTAAAAGTCTATAACAAAGAAAAAGATTATTAAAAACATACCTGAAACAGAAAGGAATACTATTTTAGTGACAACTATCATATTTTATGGAGAAATAAATCATAGTTAAGGTTAATTTCTTTTCATTCTATTTTGACCAGTGCACAATCTATCTATGTCATTCTATGCACAATTTTCTGATGACCAAAAATGCATTAATTTTTTGTTGACTGAAATTTTTTCTGCTGAACAAGGTAAATGTAATCAAAATCCTTTGTTTTTAACTGATTTTTTTATTAATGAAGTCTTAGCTAACCAAGGTTATACTGAAAATGCATTTTTAGGGGTATCCCTTATTACCCCATCTTGCAGAAATGGCCACCATTTTTTGGGGGATGAGCTATGCAAATTCTGTCAATCATGTTTTTAAGCCAACACCAGTGTGCAACTTTTATGTAAGTAAAAGTTTTTTAATGCAGCAAAAAAAATTTTTTTACTAGGGTACGGTACAGACCTTACAGAGGTAATCTTCTAAAATCTCATTTTTCACACTTTTTTGAGGGATTTTTCAGAGGTAGCAAATGTATGATTTCTTAACTTGCTTTATGCTACATAGTTAGGAAAACTGTTGAAACTTAATGCCACCATTTTTAGTTCTGCAATATTTTAGTTTAATTGCTACAACATTTCTACGAAATGTGGGACAACCGTCCTGATTTATCCTGCTCATCCCTCATTCCCCCGTTTGATGGTAGGTATATACAATGGTAACTTGATTGTCATTGCCAATAATTCATACTTCTTATAATTGGTTTTCCATTACATTTTGTGTTAGTAGTTAATCAATCATACAAGGCCTAATACCTACTACTATGACTTGCATAAGTACTATTAAATTGCTTTATGTTAGATACATATTAAAACTTTTCATTTGCAGGGTGGAATTTGATGAAGTTTTTACATAATCAGATGCATATCTCTTGTTAAATCATTAGACATGAAACTGACCTTCCATTTTACTTGGAGAGTATTTTTAGTTTAAGCATATTTTAGTTTAAGCATATATGAATTACATTGCCTATATTTAAATCATTACAACTAGATTGTTTGACTGTTAAAATTAAAATTTTCTATTCTGCAGATTTAAGAGGAAAAAAACAATGTTCTAATGCGTTTAGAACCATGTCATATTTAAACAAAATATTTTACTTTAGAGCTGGCAGATTTTGATTTCAATCACTATACCTGAATTTGAGATGTCCTGTTCTCTAATATCTTTGTAGAAACACTATTTTTAATGCTGTAACCGCATTGGACAAAGCTTCATATTAATTTGTGGAATGTCATCTAACAAGTACTGTTGCTGTGTGCAGGCCCACGTGTCAGAAACAAGTGCAAGGATTTCGAGGCCCACAATTCAAGAAATTTGATACTCAAGAAGAGGCTGAAGAATTCATTGCCCTGCGAACTGGCGGGGTAGTAGACAAGAGGAAGGCTGGAGTTCTTAGCGAAAAGCAAGACTCTGAATCATCTAAGTCAAATGATGGTGAATCTACTTCTAAAGAAAAACCAGCCAAGAAGAAGAAAATTGATGATGGATCAGGTACCTACTTTGAGAAATACCTTACAGTTGTAAACTAACTTTTGAGACTATGTTAATACACAGTAAATTTGATCAATTGAACTTCTTCATGACATGTGATTTGCCTTATACATTTGATTGGCTTTGCTTAAATAATGCAGAATTAAATGTATACTGTTAAATTTTTTTTGGGGGGGGGGGATTTGAGAAAACCAAGAAAATTGCCATTTGTGCCATTTCCTGTAAGTGAACCACAAAAAATTGCAGAAGTATCTCCTATTTGGTTAAAAATCTAAATAATTTCCAATGAAAGATTCCATAGACCAAGTTTCATGAGGTACCATATCTGTATTGAAGATATATTTTTTCAGGCAAAGTTGAATGGTTATGGTCTTTGAATGGTCTTAGTGTGAAAGTTGAAAATCTTTCTAGATATATGGTCACTACCTAATACTCATTAGAATGCAATTTTTTAATCTTGAGTTTCTTGTATCATAAAAATTAGTTTTAAACAATGTCTTCAACTTGGTCATCTGAGTATGATGATGTAAACCTACCTACATCATAACATACAAATTTTTTGCAAAAAAAGTCTGGAAACTCAGCCTAAACTGGAAATTGAATCTGAATAGGCACTAATCATTACCTACCATTTTTAAGGGTGTTCAATAACACTGCACACCACCTTGCTTCTCTTATTATTCTGACTGTTCTAAATATATTAAATGGGGAATTATTTCTTGCTTCTTGACCAGCTGTATAACCTTTTAAGTATTGCTGTTATCAATATTAAAATCATCGCATGCTCTACTAATGCTTCATAAATATAATTGATAACCATTGCAGTGATTAATATTCAAATCCTTGCATGCTCTACTAATGCTTCATTCCTTTTGACATTGTGGCACCCTGCCTTGAATGTTACTTGAAACACATCAGGCAATACAGACACTTGCTTGCCTCCTGAACTGCTGTCCTTAAGGCAAGATTTGAGAAGAATGCAGCGTGAGTTGTCACAGCTGCATGACCGATTCGACAAATATGTTGCAGCTGTGACTGGGCATGAAGGCAAATCAGAGCCTGAGCCTCAAAAAAGCAAGGGGAAGAAGAGAGCCCTCAGCAGTGAGGAGCAAGAAAAGGAGGCAGCTCCTTACAAAGGCGACAGTGGCATCAAGAAGAGAGTGTTGGCTAAGCCTATACCTGATAAGGTGTGTGCTACATTTTAAGTGGATGGAATGCTTAGAAAATCTATTCAACAATTAATTTAATTTGAATATCTAAATTTATTTTCTTAGTAAATTCTGATGGAGGAATGGTAAAACAACAGTAAAAATATTTTCCTTCGTCTTATTTGGATTGTAATAATTTGTTGTATCTGTGCAGAAACTTTTTCAACTGGATGAAGATGGCAATGTTGTGGTGTACACCGACGGCTGCTGTGAGATGAATGGCAGGCATGGTGCCAGAGCTGGCATTGGTGTCTATTTTGGTGAAGAAAACCCAATGTATGTTTTTATCTTGAATCAATATTTTTCTCAATTGCAATAAGGGTGAGGATAGAGAGAATATGTATGAGAATGCTTATTATCAATTATGAATAGTGGGATAAATTTTGGTGAATAAAATTCCGTGTGTTTTATATTTCTATTGGTCAATGAATTCAATACCTACCTAAATACAATGCTCTCTACAAGAATATGTGGACAAAACTATTTGTGCTATTTCTCTATAAACTACTTTGGTGATTAAAGTAATGTCCAGGAAACTTGATTAGTTGTTCATTATTTGGACCTTAGTTCATTTATCAAGAACTGTAAATTTTGCGACAAAAGAGTTTTAAGTTAATATGAAATGAATTTAGGTAGAACCCTTCTAATGCTTCCCTAACTGTTTTTTTCCTGCATACCTAACATTTGCATTGTCCTTTGCATGTTCACAAACCTAAATTTGAGTAAATTCAATTATTAATTTTATTAAAAATGAATGTTGCCATTTGTGTGGACATCACTTTACAAAGCTATGACTTTTCTCAGAAGTTCAAGAAGTTTGTTTCAGAAAAATCAATGCCTTTCATAAAATCTACGATTTTTTAGACAATTTACATGTTTTGCAGGAATGTGTCAGAGCCAGTGCGTGGTCGCGCGACAAACAACACTGCTGAAATCCAGGCCATCACATATGCCCTGGAGCTGATCAAGAGAGCAGGTAGCAAAAATGTGTTCAAAAACTTCCCGTGTCTTTGATACAAAATATATATGAAATGTATGCCTTGATATAATACTACAGCGATAACTGTTATTGTCCTGCCTGTTGCTGATTCTAGACATTGTCTGATTTCACATCCAGCTGGGCTTTGCAGTTTGTGGTCAACTGCATATCACTGATCCCTCATTACAGGCTTTGACAAGGCAGTGATCAACACAGACTCGCAGTTTGTGATCAACTGCATATCACTGATCCCTCGTTACAGGCTTTGACAAGGCAGTGATCAACACAGACTCGCAGTTTGTGATCAACTGCATGACGTCGTGGCTGAGCGGCTGGAAGAAGCGAGGCTGGAAGAAGAGCGACGGCAGTGAAGTCATCAACAAGGAGGATCTCATCGACCTCGACCGGGCGTCCGATGGACTCATGGTCAAATATGTGCGTTGATGGGCGGCACTCTATGGGCAGCAATTCCGTATTCATAAAAAAATTTAGTGAAAATATTTATCTGCGTAGGTAGTAAATTTTTTTTAAGCAAGCCTTTGTTTCTGAAATAAACACGTATTTCTTTTGTTTCTGAAGGGAATGTTTTTCCTGAGGGAAATGTTTGTTTCTGAAGCAAACATGTGTTCTTGAAATGAACGTGTTTCTGAAGTGAACGTTTGTTTATGAAGGAAACGTGTGTTTCTGAAGGAAACATTTGTTTTTGAAGATATGTGTGTTTATGAAGCAAACGTTTATTTCTGGAGTGAACGTTTGTTTCTGAAGCAAACATGTGCTGATGAACGATTGCTTAGGATACAAACATGCGTTGGGGCGGTAGACTATAACTCTGAACGCAGCATTTAGCTGCCTTGGCTGCCTCTAGTCTTTATGAGCCACGAAGTCATAGCTGTAATTTTGGGCACTATTGTGGTTTAATGTCAAAATATGAATCCTTATTGACCTATGAATGAAATGCAATTTCTTCATTACACATCCAAGTTACCTGGCGCGGAAAACTCGCTTACAAATGTGCTGAATTCTTTTCATTTGTCACTGTTGCTATGCCGATTTGGCAGTTCTGTTGATGGCATCAAACATAAAATAAGCGTTGAGGTAAAAGTGAGGAAGCGGCTTTAAATATACAATAAATTAATTTTTGTTGAAAGACTTTCAATGTTGCAAGTCAGTTAATTGGACCGATCGCAGGCATTCATTCAGTCTGCTAAAACTGCTCGTGGTTTTATCCAAGTTATAAATGATTCGTGAGTTTATTGCTGTTCAGCAAAAATATTTCACACACTAATGTGATGACCGTGAAGTTCTGTCCTTGATTTTTATTTCCTAATTTCCGAAGTCTTAATATTTTATACTGTAACATCCTCAGTTTTATGTACTCGAATCTTGAATTTAATGCTGTAAAAACTAGAAAATTTGTTCCGGTAGTAACTATTATTCACGTTTTATGTTTTTTGACAGAACCACGTGAAGGGCCACAGCGGCCTGCACGGCAACGAGCGAGCAGACCAGCTCGCCAAGGAGGGGGCCAAGTCTTACGATGCCAACGCCACGGAGTGATGACATGATGGCAGGGTCTGTTGCGGGTCTGGTGGTGACAATTTTGGTCCTGTGTGGCGAATATTGCCCATGCCATGCTAATATTTGGTCCCATGATGCAAGTACTGGTTATGTGAGGCGAATATTGGATCCATGATGCGAGTACTGGTCATGTGAGGCTAATATTGGTCCTATGATGCAAGTACTGGTTATGTGAGACTAATATTGGATCCATGATGCGAGTACTGGTCATGTGAGGCTAATATTGGTCCCATGCTGCGACTACTGGTTATGTAAGACTAATATTGGTCCCATGATGAGAGTACTGGTCATGTGATGCGTATATTGGTTATGCTGCGCACAGCAGTGCGATGCGAGTAGATTATTACGGTGCTCTTGCGATCCGAAGGTGATGCCTTGAAAATTTTGTGGTGATCATACGAATCCTGATCTTGAATCATCGGGGATTATAACTTATTATTGGTATTAACTCGAGGATGATGGCTTATTATCGATATATTCACGATTCTTTCGTTACCCGAATAGTGTATGTAATTTGAACGACTCAAGTTTTTACCATCATATTTTTGTCTGCAAAATTCATAGCTATTCATTCAATGCCACAACGTAGTAAATTTATTCAGTGCGTCTTCTCTATTGAAAGGAATGATGCATTCATGAATAGATGTACTATCCACGAATGACGATGGATTCTTTATGGAGATATGCAGGGTGAATGACAGCAGGCTTTATCTCTGCTGCTATATACTTCTTACGAACTGCCTCATTTTGTCTACGTCCATAGTTTCTTCAACTTTATTGACGGTTGTTTTAGAATTATCCCAAATGATGTCAATTAATAAAGTTTATTATCTCTTAATGCAAGATAATGATAGTGACAACTGATAAACCTTATCATGGCCCCGTTCAGGTCAATTACTTGAGTAATAGATTATTCGTGGGTAACCACTCATCAAAGCGATGCCCGTTGATAATTATTAGTCTGTCTTCCAACCGTAATCTTATTTGTCGGATTAACGACGCCGGTTTAATTATACGTTATTTACGTTATTTGAATTTGACGTTATTTACGTTATTTGATACGTTATTTGAATCAGGTGCGCTCAACGTTTCTAAAACGGTATGTTACTATATTGTTCAGTAATGTTGATAGGACTAACAAATTTCCTATTTTTACATTTACATTAAGAAATACTTTGATTCAGTATATTGAAAAAAAATTTTTTACCCGTTCATAAAACATGGCATAAAAATTTTTCACGACATTCAGCCTCTTATTTCATCGCCTTTCATTAGAGATTTCATGCTTCAAAACTTCATAAGACAATAAATTACAATTTTTTATTATTTATGCTTCATTTCTTATACGAAGCAGCGATTTTGCTCGGCTAATCCCATCTTGCAATCTAGTGAAGCAGAACGTCGATTAGAGGTCAAATGAACGCTGTATTTGTATTTTTAATTCATAAATTTGTTAATCAAAGGAATAGGTTTGTATGCACAAGAAGTATTTAGATATAGTTTATACTTCTTGTGGAGATGAAATGTGTGACGGTAGAAGAGGCTACAATGAAGCGTCGGCTACTTGTTGCCGAAGAGAGCCGAGAACGCGGCAGGCACGATGCTGAGGACGTCGTTGGTCAGGGTACCGCGACCCGTGTTTTTGAAGGCAATTTTCATGGCGGTGCGAGTGAGAGCCGCCGCTGCCCAGGCTGCCAACGGGCCAGCAGGCAGAGGCAGGGGCGTGTTATGGCAGGCCACTGATGTCCCGTGGGCCCAATAATAAAACAGGGCTGTGGCTCCTGACAAAACGTCGCCTTGTCCTCCACACCGTCTTGGGGCGCCCGTGACGTTACAGGTGAGGATGACGTCATCCCCCACGATGATGTCTGTCTGCCCTTTGCACAGAATCGTAACCCCCAAGTGCTTGGCGAGCTGCTCGATGTTCTCGACCTCGATGTCGTCTGCTCGCAGGTCGCGCTTCAAAACACTGCGGTAGAGCCGAGCGAACTCGACGCGGTTGGGCGTAAGAATCACGTTTCTGTATCCCTTCAAAACATCGAAGTTATCATTGAGGTAAAATAAAGCATCGGCGTCAAATACCATTGGGATCTGCTTGTCGATGGCGTCCTGGATGATGTGGTTGAGGGTAGCAAAGATCTGAGGACGGCGCCCCAAGCCTGGCCCCAGCAGGAGGGAGTGCAGACGTGGCAACCAAACGCTGATCTCCGACATGGGGTCAGGGCAGTCCAGGGCTGGGTGCACGATCAGTTCAGGGGAGTACGCCTGTTCATGGTGCACTTAATTATACTTGTACATCACATGAATATGGTTTAACATATTTATGCGCGTTATGTTCAAAGTTATCATATTAATTACCTAGTTATAAACGTTATTCTTGAAATAAATTTTACTAAATTTTATCAACAGATTTTATCAAAACGCATTTTGAATTCGTCGGTGAACTGACAAATTACTGATAATTTGTTAACCTGAACGATTCTAAACCAATACTATACAAGTGGCAGTAGCAGCAAAGAAAATATGAACATAGTTAGGCGTTACTCAAGATAGGTTTAGTGAACTTTCACGATTATTCTAGCGACTTGGATGAAGCAATCCTTCAAGAAAACTAGCATTATTTTTTTTCTTTAATGAGTGAAATAAGTATATTAATACAAAACGCATGACTGATTCCTCAGAAAGAATATATAATATTGGGCTCACTTTGATGGGCGCCGCGGCGTCTCGTGCGCAGAAGACATGCGCGAGGTCAGCACCGCAGCGCAGCGCCGTGGTGGCGGCGAAGTACGGCGCTCCGGTGTACTCGAGCGACCCTCCCACCACGCCCACCCGCCCTGCCTGGCCCTGCATGCCAGTAGTGGGTTACATACGTGTACTGGTGCAGTACACGTACAGCGATGATGTGGTGGTCACATACAGGGGCATGGCTGTGCAGTACATGTACAGCGATGATGTGGTGGTCACATACAGGGGCATGGCTGGTGCAGTACATCTACATCGATAGTGTAGTAGTCACATACAGAGGCATGGCTGGTGCAGTACATGTACAGCGATAGTGTGGTGGTCACATACAGGGGCATGGCTGTGCAGTACATGTACAGCGATAGTGTGGTGGTCACATACAGGGGCATGGCTGGTGCAGTACATGTACAGCGATAGTGTGGTGGTCACATACAGGGGCATGGCTGGTGCAGTACATGTACAGCGATAGTGTAGTGGTCACAGACAGAGGCATGGCTGTGCATTACATGTATATCGATGTGTAGTGCAAATATGGCACACTTGAACCTTAGGGCAACTGAACCTTATTGGCGGAGGGCAACTGAACCTTATGGGCGGAGGGCGACATGGGTGGTATGATGGCCCCGACGGCAGCCAGCAGCTGCTGTGGTGTTGGGGACGACCCGTCGCCGTCCATGCCGTCCACAGCGCCTTCTTGTCGTCCTGATCTGAGGGGCGACAGGCTCTTATGGATGTGTCATAGTTACGGAGACGTGTTTATATTTACGGAGACATGTTTACATTACGGCAGCATGCAAAAAATTAACGAAGGCACATGAACTTTTACTTCTACGGCGACGTGCGGTGACAGTTATATGTGACTATCACGAAAACTCGTGCAAAGTTACAGCAACAGGCGCGTTATTGCGGCAACAGGTGCGTCGTTGCGGCAACAGCTGCGTCAGTGCGACAACAGCTGCGTCAGTGCGACAACAGGTGCACCATCGCGACATTGGGTGCTCTGTCTCAAGTGTTTCTACATCAGAATCATGGCTTAGCAATTGATATAAGATACATTACCGAAATAATGAATACGCTTACGCAATTCTTCATCTAAACGTCACCGCACGTGACTATATCACAAGAATTACAGTTGTGACAATTTGAAGTAAAACCTATAATTTTAATTTACTGTCAACAAGTTAAATTATATTGAAATTAGAAGTTTGATAATGAATAAAGCTTAGAAAAGATGAATGATTTCAAAATTTGAAGTTTAAAAAAGAAAAAGTGACAAAAAAAAATTAACACCGAGTTTTAAGATCATTTCAGAATGCAGAACGATCACAGAAATAATCAATATAAATTGATGGTTAGATTATAGAAAGATGTATTAGGTACAGGTAAACTCGAAGAAGTAAACCAATCAGACGACACGGCACCGAGCTGCGAGATCCTAAATTAGGCTTTTATTTCTAATCAGCTCATCACGCTAAATTATTTTGTCTCCTTACCACCAAGTTGTCAGCACGTTACTGTCGATCGAGATTTCTTTTGCGGATAGTAGAAATTAATTTATGGAACGTAATTACAGACGAACACATGAAGTTTTCGAACGATTTAGGGAGCGTGTCGGCAAGAGGCGAGTGCTAGACGGAGTTGGCAGCGCCCGACTGAGAAGTCAGCGAGCCTCGAAATGATTCGAATCAACCACTATTGAGTATTGTTGGAATAGTTCTGGCCCAATAAAATGTCTTGCCTACTAATAATGTAGGTATGACGGTTCTTATTTGTAGCAAAAATGATTAAACGTTCGGAAAAACTTCACAATAAAAACATACAAATTCGATCGAAGATTAAAGCAACTACTACCAAGCAAGCACTACCAATTAGCATTTGTCTTGTTCATTTTTTTTTTCAAATAGCCGAACGAATCTTTGGGCTACCTAGGTAGGTAGTCCTTTGTAAATTTAAAAGCAGATTTCCACGAGACATTTTAGTATTTAATGATTTCGCAGGACTTCACATCAAACTTTTACATAATAAAAAAATATATTATTTTTACTATTGAACAAGATTTTTATGCATACCGGCGGATACCGCGGTGAGAGATCGTGATTTAACCAATATATGACATAAAATAAATAAAAATAACAGAACATGTAAATCTTCCTCACAGGTAGAAAAGAAGATACCAGTAAATAATTAAAATTAAGGTTTTATATATGAGCATAATTTACATCCGGGCTTCGTGCACAGATCCATTTCAACATGTCATTCGGTAGCGTCACGTGTAAATGGTAATTTTTGAAAAGTGACATGATAACCGCAAAAAAAAGTTTCACGTAGAATAACTGCCGTCTCTGGAACAATGTATATGTATGTAAGCTAGTAGCAAGTAGCCTGTAACTAGACCGTAAAGCAAAGTATAATGGTTTTACTGTCATAAAAAGTGATAATAATAGGCTATTGGCAACATATTTGAGCGAATAAAAACTTTACACTCGTAAAAAAAAAGAGACGGTGGGAGCCAATTTATATCAGTTACACTTATTACCAACAGAAAACCATTAAGACGCGATTTCATAGAAAACTTTTGCTGTTTCGAGTCAACATTGAATATTCAATAATACTCATGCTAAGTGCACTGACTGTCATAGATTCGATTCAAAATGCAAGTGAATGAAGAAACAGCTTAGTGAGCATACCCATAGAAAAGTTGCCTCAATTTTCTTACTCACGAGTTGAAGGAAGACAGAAAACTTCTATTGACAAGCAGTGCTCTGCTCAAGCGGCGCACCAACATTATACTTCACGGTCACTGGAAGATGACCGGGCACTGTTGCAAGCAAGACAAGTGGCCTTCAATAATTACTCGAAGATAAGGTTGCCGATATACAGTTTTTTCAACATTGCAATAGAACATACGTGCACTAAAATTGCTAAAATAGATAAATTATATCATTCCGAACTCTCTAAGTGAGCACATGCACAAAAAATGGGAGCCAATGATATGAGTACGTATTATCGGTGGCAAACGCCTAAAATTCTAATACTTCAATTATTAATAGGATACAATCTTTCAAGCTACTGACACATGTTTTCCTAAAATATTTATTAGCATCATAGTATAGAGTAAGCGTAGCATAGTATAGCAATGTCGGCGCTGAAGGCAAAGTTTGGCCAGTCGCTGATCATCGTACTTTTCGTGACTTGTTCGCATATCTAAATACTAGTCTTTTTGATAGTTGTTTTTAAAACAAACGTTGAATTAAAATAACTACTGTACTTTTACCAGGTGTAAAAGATGCAAGGCCTTTCTAGACTGAACAAATACGGCTGATAACTTTACCTGGTCTTTTCTTTGACGCGTTCACAGTCGGAGCGCTAACGATGATAACTGTTCAACTGGTTCAGTGGTTCCCAGAATTTTTCAGGCTGGCGCTCCCTTTGGCTGCCCAGTGAATCTCTAGTGCCCCCCCCCTCTCTCCTCCCGACAGACACATATAAAAACAAACGCCTCTTTCTAGTTATTTGGTATGCTGCAATTTTAAAAGAGATAGGTTAAGCACAAATGTGTATTTCACAAATAGAACCCCATTTAGTATACCAATATAAATTTTTACATTTTTAACTGTTTCAGCACTAGAAATTCAAGACGGCTCGGGTAAATTTATGGCCGGACTTATGGCTGGTCTTGCAGCCGGTCTCACGGCCAATCTCCGAATTCAGTGACCAAGGAATATCTCCCAAACCTAATAATGCAGCTCGATAAAACTTGGAGCACGTATTCATTAGGGCCTAACGGTGATGTTTAGCCCGTGAACAATTTTTAAATTTCACCTTCATTTAGGAGTTATAAGGCGATACTAGCCGAAATTCGCAGTGATCAAAGAATTTCTTCCAAACTACTGAACAGATTCGAACGGAAGTATAAATATAAATTCCTAACCACCAAATAGTGGTTTTTAGCTCGAAAAAATTCATTCCAGTCAGAGTCATGTTCTGCATGTGTTGTGTACAAATCGTTAAACAAACGAACGAACTTCTGACTTCGACTTTGGGGACTGCCTCCCCCCTCCTGCCCCTTTCTTCCTCACCGCCCCCCCCCCCCAGATCTTTCACCGCCCACAGGGGGCGATATCGCCCACTTTGGGTACCACAGAACTAGTTGATTACTCGAAGCGAGAAGTGTAGTCGCCTTGATGAGTTGCACCGCAGTTTTTTAGTCCATAGTCGTGGCCCCTGATGTTGGTTCTTGTTTCAAATTCTAGGAGCCTTTCGGGAGACTTCATACAAACCATGAGTATACTCGTAAACTTCAATGAGGTCAGCACGCAGACAGACATCGATAACAAAGCCTAGGATGCTTCATAATGTTTAATTTCCCTTCATAAGACTTGCACTTTGTCTGCAAATATCATTGTGGCACGTCTTCGAACACTCTCGACTAAAGTTTTGTAGTTTTCTAGTTTCGGTGACCACACGACGTTTCCATACTTTAGGTGCGGGCGCTCGATTGCGACAAATCGCTTATAGGTACATCATGGACTCTGAAAAGCGTGTCTGATCACTGGTCAGTCCAAGAAGTTTACCGGATTTATGAACTTGCGTTTCAATATGCTAAGAAAATTTCCACTCCTTGCTGACATGAACTCCCAGATCTTTTTCTACTGTCGACGTCGACTTTTTAATCGTCACCTCTTATTGCAACCATTTCTTTTCATACTGTAAGCTTACCGAGGTGAATTACTATTCGTTGCACTATAAATGGAGGCCTTAAACTCTATTCGTAACCTCTATAATGAGACTGGATCCTATAATTGACCTATAAAATGCATACTTACAGGCAAATATGCAGCCCGTAAGTAAATGTAGCCTTACTTCTTCTCGTTTGGCTGCGAGAAAAATCAGAGACGAATTGAGTGTCCACAAAAAATATTTAGTAGTTTATCTGTGATACCTACTTTAGTTCGTGCTCTGGACTAATTTATTAACAATTCTTCAGACGCGTGAGCCAAAGTAGGAATGAAGAAAAATTTTAGTGACTTATACGTACACAAATAGAAAGTTGTAAAATGCGATTGCTCGCTTCCTCATATTTCTTGACTGTGTGTTAAAAACTATGGAAACGTAACAGACATGGCTTCCCACATTCGGTGTGACGGGTCCACAGCGTTACAAACATGGATAGTCCTGCACGCGGTTTAAATTTGGCCGCAGTTATTTCTTCAAGTGGGCATAGTTCGATGTGGCTATGTGCTGCGAAGGAACCGCCGTTGTGCATGTAAATGCAAAAAGTTTTGTCCTTATAATTTATGCCACATAAGTGGACTGTTCGTGATCAATGTTAAGGTTGATGAATCAGCGAGCACATCTAACTCAGAATTTACGGTACTCAATTCGTACGTGAAGTCGAGTTCAGAGCTTAGTTGTCCTGTATTGTTTCCTTATTGCGCGCTTTTGTATCTGAAAATTCACAATGTGGGGTATTGCTCATGATTTCAATAAATTTTTTGGCATAGTTCCAGATGTACTTATTCCTGGTCAGCATAATAGAGCATTAGAGGTGCTCTGCGGCAGTCATACGAGTGAATACATATTCCGGATGGATGCACATTACATTGCAAATTTTAAAAATAATTAGGATTAAAATGTAGGTTGCTATATTATTATATATTATATTAATGCCGAGACATACATTGAGTCCCATTGATGCTCAGGCGGCTCAGTGCTCCCTTCCGCTTCATGGCACTCGGTGTTAATTTTTGAAACAGATCGGCCATAAGCTCACAGCCCCAGGAATATTTTGTTGAGTGTTTAATTAATGCGTGATATCATGTTTACCACCTCAATTAATCAGTTAGCAATTTCATACGAGAATCTGAGCTGGACGTAGAGTTTCGTCACTTAGAATAGTTTCGAAGAGTTCATTAGTATAGCTTTGTTATTTTTAATTTCCTTTTATGAATAAAATGTAAATGGAATTAAATAAAGATTTCTCTGCCGAAAATGACATATTTGTGTGTCATAGCAACATGTGCATCACTGCAGCAACAGGTGCATCACTGCAGCAACAGGTGCATCACTGCAGCAACAGGTGCATCACTGCAGCAACAGGTGCATCACTGCAGCAACAGGTGCATCACTGCAGTAATAGCCAGTAGGTGCCTTAAAAAAAGAACATCAAGAGGTCAAAGCAAAGAATAGAACTTAATCATATAAGATGAGCACGTTAATATGATTTTTCATCTAAGCAGCGCTGTCACATTTCAACAGCGCTATGTCACAGAAATTTTACTCCTAACTTCAAACCAAAACCTCACACTTTAGTTTATTGCCAACACCTTCATTACTATTGAAATTTTGATAATCAATACAGTAAAGAGCAGATCGATTGTTTCTAAATTAATGGATTAATATAACTTTTCCATTTGAATTGAACATGAAATACAATGGAAAAAGTTAACAAAAATATTAATATTTTACTCATGTTGGGTGTCCAGGAATAGAGACAGAGAACCCAAAAATGGTTCCGTTATTAAAAGAACTTAATCAACGACGCGAACCAATCAGACTGCGTGGCATCGGATTGGTGCAATCTTAAATTTTTCAGAATACAAGCACCCGTTATTGTACAATATAAAAAATGAAATAGAACTTTAGTTTTATAAACACACAAAAAAGTATTCTAAAACACTCTTTAAATAATGGTTAGTTTTATAAATACACTAGAAAACACCAAAAAATGAAACAGAACTTTAGTATTCAAGTAAAAATGTAAAATGAAAAATTTATCGTGCATTCCACAAGTAAGCCATCACTCCCCTATGCTTGGAAAGCCCCACATCCTTTTCATGTCTGATATGAATCTTCCTATTTGGCTGACCACAGTCCAACTTCTGTAAATAAAGACTGGCGTGGTAATAACTTATCACCTACGTAGTCCGGTCCTTTGCCACTTAGCGAATTGTGAATGGGAATGACAGGAGGCGACAGGTACAGGGGTTAGACAAAATAAGGGAAACACCTGAGATATCCACAAAATACATTTTAGTATGGAGTAGGTCCACCTGTTTGAGGCAATTACAGCCTCAATTCTACAACTTCATGCAAATTGTGAATTGTTTCCTTAGGAATTTTAACCCATTATTCAGTTAAAATCCCTCCAGATCTTTTAAAAGACGATGGCGACAGGAACCAATTTCTGACTTGCATCTCTAAAATTGACCCTAAATGTTCGATTATATTCAGATCTAGTGATTGTGGTGGCAAATGAGATGCTCAACTTCATTATATTATTCGTCGTGCCATTATTAACAATTCCAGCTGTATGGATCTGGGCATTATCATCTTGAAAGTTGGCGGAAACTGTGCCCCTCCGGAAACTGTGCTTGAACCATTGGATGAACTTGGTCTTCCAAAATTCTTAAATGGTCACGACTGTTGATTCTTCCTTGTAGAGAAATCATCTATTGGTTCGCCGTATTTCCAAGAAATAGCACCCCAGATCTTCAAGAAGATTGTACTAGGTATAATCCCAAGTATATTAAGTTTTCTACTCATTTGGAAATTTTTTGTTAATCATCTACAACTTTCAAAGCATTGGATTAGGGCTTTGAGGACGATCAGTTTTTTGCCAGTCACTTCTGCAAAATCAGCCAATAACTGGGACTTCTATCTGAAATTATATGAAATAAGCAGTCTAGACTTCGAATCTACATGTAGTTTTATGGAAATAAAACAAATTCGCCTTTTCCAGCTATATTTAAAAATAAAATATATGGATCAAGCTGAGTTGTGCCTTATTTCCAGCGAAGAGGTATCTCGCGGGCTATCTTTTGATACAACTGATCATTACTAGACCGAGTAATTCTAGTAATTCTAGTGCAAGTCAAGCCATTTCTAGAATATTATTAGAGTTTGCCTTATACAGGATTCTTAATTAAAATAAATTGATATGCCCGGCTTGTTTCGCGCATCCATTTTGTTTCTACTTGAAAACTTGATTTCACTCTTTAATACCATGTTTTTTTAAATCATCATTGATACATAAAAATAAAAGATTTGTCATCATTGATGCCTCATTGTAAATGAACTCTTCAATATCCAAGTATGTGTGTAGTTCCCTTGTGATTATGTACACAATTATACCCAATACAAGTTTGTTGTATCAACATATGAAGCCAGCGATCAGTTGGCAGTTAATTTCATTGCGATCTTCAGGCGAAGTGATGGAAGCTGGCGGACAGCGGACCAGATTACGCTTCTTGCCTGTTGAAAAAATATTATTATAAATAGGAGTAGCTGAAGTATTGGACTGTATTATTGCTATTGATCGTGATTATGAAATGTGATACAAACAATGAATATATAGAGTATTGGTCACAATAATAACTATCATTATGAATAATAATTATGTAATATGATTATATAGATGATTTAATGAATCGTTGCTAACGGTGACTGTAATGGCACTAATATTCCTCACGACACTAACATCCCTCACGACACAAACATCCCTCACGACACTAACATCCCTCACGACACTAACATCCTTCACGACACTAACATCCCTCACGACACTAACATCCCTCACGACACTAACATCCCTCACAGCACTAACATCCCTCACAGCACTAACATCCCTCACAGCACTANTAAGAGACAGCACGTGCACCAACCACTCACACGTGCACTGGCCACTCACACGTGCATCGCACACCCACACGTGCATCGGCCACTCACACATGCATCGGCCACTCACACGTGCACCGAACACTCACATGGGGACGGGGCAGACAGTGGTGGGCAAGAAGTTCGGGTCCTCGACTTGTATCTGCGAGAGAGCGACGGTGACGGAGTTCTCTGTGTTGCCGGACGAGATCAGCCGCACCACCGACACCTCGCACAGCACCGCTGATGGCCGCGCTCCTGCATAACAAATATGAACTTAAGAACTAATTTAGGCAATGAAAACTGTGCTGGTGTGCATGAAATGTAACCTCTACAACAACGTTAGGCAACGAAAACTTTGTTATTGTAAACACAATGTAAACTCAACAGGAACAATATTCAACGAAAACTGTGTTATTGTAAACACAATGTAAACTCAACAGAAACAATATTTAACGAAAACTGTGTTAGTGTACATGCAATATAAACTCAACAGAATTTATTTTCGAAATAGATATATGAATGATAAAGTGTAGCTCATGATAATAAAATTGAGTGTTATTAACATAAGTTAGCTTAAACCAAAAATTAACGTAGAATTTGAAAGCGTAGAAAATGCCGAATAAATTCTACATATATTCATTAAAATCGCTTCAGAGACCAGCTTCTTCACAAGAAACTGTTAATTTTATTTATGTTATTAATTATTTTTCAAATGACGATGAAGCTCGACTCCAAGACGTATGTCATTTCAAATTACTTGACTTTTCTGCGTTTTCAAATTTTTGGATGAATTAAAAACAAAGGTAAATTTCAGCGTTTCAATTTTTGTATAGATGTATCAGAGTAAGTAATTAAAATACTCGATGAAAGAATGTTGTAAAATGGCATTGAGTAAGATAGAATTTATACGACAGAAATTCTACCTTCCTATGGAGCTCTAGCTATTCTGGACAATTCTACCGTACTATGGAGCTCTAGCTATTCTGGACAATTCTACCGTACTATGGAGCTCTAGCTATTCTGGACAATTCAATTCTACCGTACTATGGAGCTCTAGCTCTTCTGGACAATTCAATTCTACCGCACTAGGGAGCTCTAGCTATTCTGGACAATTCTACCGTACTAGGGAGCTCTAGCTATTCTGGACAATTCAATTCTACCGTACTAGGGAGCTCTAGCTCTTCTGGACAATTCTACCTCACTGGGCAGATCAAGCTATTGTGGGCCTATCGAACAGCTTCAGACGGTGCCAGCTTGCGCTGCAGCTTACGATCGGATTAAGCAATTCTCTTGTGGATGTACGAGTTGCTTCTGGTGCGAATTAATTACAATTAAGTTCATAGATTGATTTTGTTACTTATGAAATACAATTTTTAACTTTCTTTTGCAACTTCAATAATAATATCTATCATGATAATAATAATAAATGATAATTTTATACGTTCACAAAATGCCCACTTTTCACAATTATGGAAACTTTGCACAAGGGACTTAAGTGTCTTCATCCGCAGTGTACTGTTGATAGAATATGATTGAATTGCTGTAAATTGATCATCCAGTATTTTGTTTCTGAATATGAGAAGCAACGGCATTAATGTGAAATGATGTTCACATTAGCAACAGCTTGAATCAAAACCAATATTCATGCCAGATAGAAATTTAGCTAGTAGATATCTATTTACTTAAATGCCATCCATTCGAAGAAATTTATATATTAACAATTGATTTAAGTACTCTGTGGTTTTCTCATCGTCGTCCAAAATATTTATTGTGTGCACATGAGTAAATTTAGTTTTTATTTCTAGTTTCAGCTATAAGGAAAGATGCGCTTCAATATACTAACCCCCGTTAATGAAATAATCTTTCGCAAATGAAAATTTATTTGTTAGATATCTGAAAATTTATATTTAGTTGATATTATATCACTTGGAGTAATTCAGAGCAAAAATGATAATACCTAAATATATGACAAGAGAGTAATAATGAGTGTAAAAATTACACCCACATTAAGTGTAATTACAAATTAAATAAATAAAATGTGTAATTAAAATGACACGCCATGAGTGTAAAAATTAGTTTGAAAGTTCTGCTGCAAAGCGAACAATTTCTCAGTTGACTATAATTTGCATAACGGAACGGTGAGACATGCGTGCTGAAGAGAACTTCTTCAAACTTTCTATAGTGAAAAACACTTGAACTTTTCAACAAAAACTCGCTCGTAATACTAAAAAATGAAACTTTTTAAGAGATACTACAACTTGAAATTTAAAATGAATTTGGTCGAAGGAGGCTTGAAAAATTCAAATTTGTGTTGGAAGAATTCAACTGAGGAGTTTATCCAACTCAAAGTCTCGCCTCTGTATTGTGGACATAGTCTTCAGATTCAACTCAAACACTCTTCTCTGCATAATGGACATTGTTTTGAGATTCAACTCAAACATTCGTCTCTGTATAATGGACATAGTTTTGATAGCCATCAGTAGGACGATAACAAATCTTTCACAATTTCACTAAATAATAAAATTTCACACTGCTAACTATGAAGTCTCACAAAGAGTTTCTCCGTCACTTGAGCCATAGCAATTTGTATTTAAATACATACCCGTATGTTAAACACAACCTACATGAACCATATTCACTAGTTCCATGTAGATATTTACTTAGCTCTATTTCTCTTCGCATGAATGTATCGGAAAAAATACTGTGTCACGCACGATTCGTAAATTTAGCTTTAAAATACGATCAATTTTGATGAGCTCAGTTCTGTAAAAGACGTACGTAGATATGTCCCCGGGAGCGCGTAAAAAACTTTAATTATTCAGTTTATCAAATGTTTTGCTTGAAAAACAAGATTGAGGATCTTCATGAGTTGTTACAGCATTTTAATAATGATTCTAAATAATCAGAATCAGCCGCGAGGCCCGATGGTTATATATTAACAGTGTGATGTCACAGGCTGGCAAGAAGTGATGTTTGATGTCATTTAAGAATATGAACAGGATTATAGGACAGAATAATTAATGAACAACGAGATCGACAGAAATTGGTCCTAATACAAATTTTTTACATGTATTCGCAAGACATTTATAAACATATATATATATTTTTAAAATTTTTTTTGCTTTGTATCTTGATTTTGCATATATATGATTTTGTTTTAGTTTGGAAGCAACTTCAGCGAGCGTAAAAAAATGGCTCAAACAACTAAAGTTTGGAATTTAGTCATCTCGAATTTTAAATCAGTGGAATTATTTAATTTAGGGTGGCAAACGAGAATTTCAGCTTTACAGTAAAATGCGTTAGTTCACGATTAGCACAATCTGAAGTCATTTCAGAAGGAAAGTAAAAAGCAGGAAGTTCAATCACATTAAGCGAGAAAATTAAATATTTTCCATACAACAAGCGAACTTAGTTGAGTCAAGAAAAAAATTATTTCCTCTAGAAAATATAGGTTTAAATTAATATTGGAAGAAGACCAGCAACAGATTAATTCAACATTTCAATTTAAATTTACATAGAGGGTCGAATATAAGTTTAAGATCCGCGTCGAAACTCATACTGACAGGAACCAAAAGGTAAATACAACAAAATACATGCAGATATCATCAAACTTAAATACAAAACACATGCACATTTCAACATGCATAAATACAACACCTACCGCTACCGCTACACGCTCTATATGTAGCGGGCGCTACCGCTACCGCTACAATTGCTGAAATGTAGCGCCGCTACCGCTACTGAAAATGTAGCGGCCGCTACATGTAGCGCGCTACTGTCCACGTCTGGTAACAACTAACATGTTGACACTAGTAACAGGCTGAGGTTGACAACATTATACTGAAATCTTTCGTACAATATTATTCTGTAATTTATACTATGTATGTAGCATGTTGGTTATTAAATAATATTTAATACTATTAAATAAAATTTTAAGGCTTTATCTATAAATGTAGCGGTAGCGCTGTAACGGCAAAACCTTGTATCGCTACTTAAATATGTAGCGGGCGCTACCGCTACCGCTACATAGCCTTAAATGTAGCACCGCTACCGCTTCTGAAAATGTAGCGGCCGCTCGTACCGGCCGCTACATGTATCGCGCTACTGCCCACCTCTCTACAACTCACATGCAGATATCATCAATCAGGAATACAACACACATGCAGATATGAACATACATAAACACAACACACATGCAGAAATCAACTCTAAGTTATAACTCACGCGGGTTCGAGTCCAGCCCACAGATGTCATCCTCCACGAGCATATTTGAGACGTCGAGACCGAGGGCGCCGCCCACCACGACCTCGTCTTCTAGGCCGCGTTTCGAGCACTGATATGCAAATAAAATAAAATATTCTAAATAAAAACACGCTGAATTATGTGCTAAATATATTTTACGCGACATAACAAGTGCTGTAGCCGCCATTTTCCCTTTTTCTGAAACTTGTAGCAATAGAATATAAGCCTACTCGGCGCAGTTGATTTCTCAAGCGTCACAGCAATCATTGTTAGCCCTTGATATACGGATGCCTGCACTACCAGGGGAACCAAGCTATTCGGTTCGTTCGATTTATCGTTTGTTTTCGTGCATTATTGATTATCCTGTTTAATTATTGTCTAATCTTGCTTCATATATTATTATTTCATGTAATTAGCGTATCCTTTTTCTTGTATATTTATCTTATGTATATTTGTCATTTTCTTTCTAGAAACCGTACATCATGGAATACTCGTTTTTTACCCTGCCATGATGGCGCGTCTTAGAATAGTTCAGCAAACGTTCCCAAAGGACTAGCCAACAAGAAAGTCCTTTATAAGTGCTATATATGAACAGAAAACAATATGATCACAAACGTAAAAGATTGAATACCAAAGAAAAATATAGAAATAAAATTAGGCAGCCTGATATAACCGGTTAACAATTAATTTAACTGAATTGATGGCAGGAATATTGTAAGATTGAACAAACGAAGAGGAAAATAAACAACTTAATTTATTGTGCATTTAAAAGTTCCGAAGTTTTTTGAAATCGAAATACTTTCATTCGGCGAGGTCGATTTGTCGTTAAGAAATGCACCGCAGGCACGACGCCACGAAGAAACTTTCAACTTAACTTCGGTAAGTTGCAGGACTTCTAATATGTCCCGGAGAATTTAGTTAAAATCGAAAAATGTATTGCATCAGATGAAAAGTTTCGTTTGGGCGAGGTTATTAAAAATATTGTGGCGAAACAAAATGCAATTTATAAGCTTGAAGGTATTAGAGTTTTAACTGAAAAAGTAACGAGATGCTACACAGTGCTTCATCTCAATCACTTAAATGATGATGAAATATTCCATCAATTGAATTGCTTTGATGGAAAAATCTTCAAGTCAAATCCTCATTGGAATGATTGATCAGGAAAAGATTTTTCCAGCAGCCAGAGCACAACATTTGTAAAAATAATATTATCGGAAGCCCGACGCTGTATCGATCGTTCACTTAAACCAACAGAAATTTTATGCCTCCAATGAAGAGTTGTTGTATGAATACAACAGCCGTTACATTAATGCCATAAACATTCAACGCGATATTGATTTCTGAAGAATAAACATTAGAACCTTCATTTCATTAATGGATTCAAATCTTAGAAACTAAATTCAACGAAATAATTCGAACTTGCTTAAGTTGAGCTTAGCGGTCAGCATATGGCATAAATGTCAACATGAACTTAAATCGTACAAAATAACTGGGAACTTCTGAATTTTCAATGAGTTTCGCCAGTGCTCCACGCATCAGAGCTCTTATTCGGTGACCAATTATGACAAAGATTTCACGTGGTGCAGAATTAATTATCATTACGCGGAGTATCAATAATTATCATTAATATTCTCATCTATGATGTAGGAAGCTCTAATAATTTTCTCTCGTAAAATTTAAAAGCTTTAACAACTGCCACGCTACGAAATAAAACGTGAAGTGAATACTATATACTTTAAAACAATAATTCTGCTAATCGCTTCACAAAATGGGACTTTTATCTTGAGGCTGTCATCGTAGGATCCTAGCCGTTTAGCAGGCTTAGGCTGGAAGGAAATTGTTCTCGGGTTCGCTTTAGGGGAGTCTGAACTCAGGACCTGTCAGAAAAATGTTTTCAGAGAGATTTGCTCCTGGCAGGTGAAATATGTTAATATTCACATCATAAAACTCTGGCTGCTCAGGCTGTAATATTCAGGGCTGGACTCTGATGTTTAATTCTAGTGTTTCCATGCAAAAACTTACGTCGAATTTTGCTTATGCTTTTGAATTATTTTGCAAATGAAAATATCATATCTAATTTGATATTTTAAGTTTCATGAGATTCAAGATCGTATTTGATAGATTCATATTTGAAAAAAACACGGAGATTTATCGATACGAATGAGGGATTGAGGATGGCTAGAAATTTTAGATGAATAACAAATTTATTTAAATTGATAGTATTTCCATAGCGAGGAAACAGAAGGTAAATTCTCGCGAAATTTCACAATCCAAAATTAAAGCCGCGATTACGCGCATTTAATTAAAATATAAAAACTCATTCAGTGCTTCATTATTCACGAATAGTGAATAATGGCGATAACCATACAATCTAGCGATAAGCTTCTCATCTTATCGGTAGTTTTTTTTAGTTCATATACCTGCTCATTTACTGTTCGAATGACTATTATTGAAATTTCAGTACACAAAACAATATCACACGAAAAAATCACGATTTTGTGGCAAGTCTTGACTCAGCAGGCTAACTTCACTAACCATGACTCTGACCAACAACGGTTTCCCGTGTTGAGTCACCCGTGACCTGGGCGATGACTCATTCACTTGAGTGTCCTGCCCCACTCCCCCGATACATGACGCCTACTCACCCGATGCATGACGCCCACTCACCCGATGCATGACNGAGCAGTTGCTGCGCGTGCCGTGGTTACGCAGCGTGAACACGCCGCTGTCGCCGCTCACTAGGATGTTGCACGCTGAGGGCGACACGCGAGATATGGATAAAGATTAATTATTTTATGACCGCTCGTTTGGAATACAGTTTGAAAGGGGCGAGGACGAGACGCGAGATATGGGTAAAAATTAATTATTTTATGTCCGCTCGTTTGGAATACAGTTTGAAAGGGGCGAGGGCGAAACGCGAGATATGGATAAAAATTAATTATTTTATGACCGCTCGTTTGGAATACAGTTTGAAAGGGGCGAGGGCGAGACGCGAGATATAAATCAAAATTAATTAGTTTATGGTGAATATTTATATACATGCAAAAAAATTTATTTATGGTATTTTTATCAATATTTTATGGTCACTTACAAAGTTAGCAATGCTTTAACAAACGGTCCAAACTCTACCACAACAACAAACAAATGTCTGCGCTAGTACATGTGGACAGTTCAAATATGATCTTAGAAAATAGGGTTCTTAAAAAAGTGGAACATCGAATGCTATAAAAATTAGCTCTTCCGATTTGCATATGTTATTTCACAAAAATTTTGTTAATAATTGAAGCCCTAATTTGAGATTTGTAAGATCGAGTTTCTGCATGATTCATCGTACTTTAATGTTATGACAATGCTTGTTCTATATTCCTTTGAAATAAACGGATTTCGAATCAACAGACGAGATTTTTCAAGAAAATTCAGATGATTTAATATATGAAATAAAAAGAATTTCTGGAATATATAATAACGTTCATAAATATATCATAAAAAGAATTGTCAGAATAATCGCTCCTATCGGAAGCGATGACATGATGAAGCATATCGTCACATGTTGGAAGTAACAACATTTTTCTTACGTTTGGCAACTGCCTGCTCGTTTGGAATACAGTTTGAAGGGGCAAAAATGGGCGAAAAATGCAGTTAAATAATGGAGTATATCGATTACGACGATTTTCGAATCTAATTATGAACATAGAGGATTTTTTTCAAATTTAGCGCCTTCAATTCGATACTTCGCTGAGTGTTTAAGAAATTCGCGCTGCTTAAGTTACCCAATAAAGTCTCGAGCCTTTTTTTTTTGTTTGCACCTGCAGTTGCTATGGCATGAATTATTTATTTATCGCATGGTTTTCAGAATCGACCATACCAATAACTGGTGTAGGGATAACTTTGCTAAATTCTGACTCTTTGATTTGGAATAACTAATGCATATATAAACGATTACGTTGGCAATCTTAAAACAGGCAGACTTTCCTGATAAATGAGGCTCATTTTTTAAATTTCTTACAAAAATGTCAATGATCCAGGCTCGGAAAAAGTCTCTTTGCTTCAGAAATAACTTCTCCCGAACACGTCATTCGGAAACTAGTAAGTCGTCCCCATTTAATTCGGGTGAATAAATGCTCTTGAGCGATCTCAATTGATTGCTGCTAATTAACGGACGATCATTCAAATACTTTTATCTGTCGTGAAGTTTTTTTTATTCACGAGATCAAAATGCTGGCGACAGCTTCAATGCGGACCTAATCCCTGACTCTGATATTGGATCTCGCACTAAATCTGCCCGGGTTCTAGAAATAATTTATTGAATGTGGATTTATACATTTTGGTAGTAGATGGTTATAGGTTTTATTCATCACTAACTCTGTAATATCTGGAAAACTTTCTCGTTAAATGTACATGGACAAGTTGTAAAATAGATAAATTAAAGAATGCTATATATCTTAATTGATGAATTAATAATGTTTGCAGGTCTCATAAAATGGAATCTTGAAGAATTTCTTAACGTTTTGGGCTCTGAACTTGTTTGTAGGATAAGCTTTCGAGCACCTGAATTTAGTCATAATTTTTAGCTACTATAAATGATATGAGAGAAAAAATTTTAAATTAATTAACGTCAATTGATCTGTAAGTTTTAAATTATGTACAGGAATGGAAAGTGACAAACAAAAAATGTACAATATATCATTTAACATCATAAATTTGATACGTAATGAATCAAATTCAATAAATATTGGTACTTAAAAATTTATTCTTCAAGTAATAAAAATACTTCAAACAAAAAGTTTAATGTGAAACTAAAACCTTTCCCGAAAAAAACATATGGCCTGCTGCTATTTTGAGACTTATTTAAAATTATTTTATTAAAATAAATAACTGACGTGTAGGATGTTTGATGAACTTGACGGAGATCTTAAACACGTCGCCACGTCGCGGTAACGAGTAGAGCAGCGACGCAGCGTTGGACGTGCTCAGGAACACCTTCCTCTGATGGCGCCCACACAGCTCCTCTACCCGCCCCTCCAGGGGGGCGTCGCCCACCGGCGGGAACACTTCACCATTCAGCTCCCACCCGTCCAGAAACTGCTTCAATATGGAGATTTATCGTAGAGATTTTCAATGTTGAACATAGATATTTTTATACCTTCTTATCCTGTCTCGTGCCTTTTTGTACCGTGTCCTCAGAGTTCAGTTGGACGAGACGCCACGACAATTGATTCGTAGAGTAATAACAACTAAAGGATTTCTACGGTTAATGCTACATCACTTAATTATGTCGCCGGCTTTATGTCATAAGTGATGTGCCGACCTTTTAATAATAATAATAATTGATGTGCCGAATCTTGTTAAAAAGCACGGTTGATTTTCAACATTTTCACTTATATTGAAAGAAACTTTAATTAGTGGAAGTGAATTACAGATCACGATCACTAGTGAATAGCTGTTTTGTTGAAACAAAAACTTGAAATGAAAAGAAAATACCTTGGGCAGTTTTTTTTTGCCTAATATAATTTCATTAAAATATTTTTACTCAATGAATGTTTTTTAGGTATTCTAAAATTTATTGGCTTGTTTGTCCACTCAATTGTTTATTTAATGTTTTTTGGGCCATGCCAGGCGTATTCTTGTAGCGATGACTACATCGTCTAAGGGATTTTTATGAAAAGATTTGTATTTTTATATTAAATATTAAATATATGTATATATATTAAAGATTATATTTGTATATTATTATTTGTCGATTACGCAAATAAGGATCTCAAAATGTTCGCCGATTAAAGATGCAGGTAAGAGAAATCAAAGCTCCACATGATTGATATGCAAAAAGAATTTTAATTCTTACTCAGATTTCCCGTTAAATAATAGAAGTATTTAAATGATTAGTAAACAGGATAATTCTCTCTACCGTAAGTTAAATAATGTACGCCATTAATATTTATTCTTATATGATGCTACTATTGACGAATTCTTAGGGGGAAATTTAGGCATAAACTTTAACTTATTTTCATCATATACAGGCCATGGCCTAGCATTTATCATTCACAATCCAGCATTGATCAATTTCTTTTACTGACGTCAAATAAACTTTTGATAGTACATTGCATGCGCAAAATAGCTAGCCCAAATTGTTATTAGGAAATATTATATATATGAAGTCTAAAACTGTTTACATTTAAGTCCGGCTGAAGAAGTGCTCCTGTTTCGATGTAAGAATTTAGAGGGAACCAACTTCTCTTTTGTTGCCGAATCATTCATCTTGAGGCTAGTAAAAGTTTAATTTGTTTTAGATTCTTCCCTGACAAGGAAACACTTAATAGAAAACTTGAATAGCTTTTAATCGTTCGTCAAGACACTTATTAAGTTCCCAGTGAATACATTTATGAATTAGCATAGGCCTCATTCAATCAGCAGAGACGGCAACTGCGCTAAATTAGTTTCTTTACCATCATATCTCAAAATAAATTAAAATTATTACATTTAATCTCTGAGCAAAATGTATACACTTTTCCGCCTTAAATTAGAATGCATGAAAGCGCCTGACAATAATTAATCCAATAAAATCTGAGTATTATGTTAACCTTCAAACTTTTCATATAAAACCAAACTTATTATTGCTTAATAAACAAGGAAAGGAAATATAAATAAGATTGAGTCTAAGCACCTGCGTTATAATTTACATACAGTATATGTAGCTACGGAATTATATTACTTTTTAGTGCTAACTTTATAGTGGAGCTGAAAAGTTCTTTGTTCGGAAAGCCGGATGGAGGCAGATCCGAAAAGTTTGCACTAAAAACTTGTGCCATAATTATTCACTGAAGCTCAGCTCTGATGAGCACTTGAAAAATATTCTCTCTTGAACATTCTGAAACTCTAAAAACATTAGGAAAGTGAACGTAACTGAGAGCCTTGTGCAGGAGTGTCTCAGAGTTAAGGCCATAATTTGGCAGACTAAAATTTCCGGCTATCTCTTGGAGCCTTTAGTGATTTAGTCTCTTCTTTTAGACAACAAAATCAGATATAAGATGCCTTATCAGGTATGAGACAAAATCAGAATAATCTGAAGCTCTGATCTTCAAAAGAGGCTGATTTACAGTATATACGCCTAAAGAAGTCGTCGAGTTATTGCAACAAATTATTATATGATCACGAAATGTGCACCTACAAAATTAGTTATTATATTTATTCGCTTCATGCCAAGGTAAACGAAGGACTTAAAATTCTTCAACAACATTTGGGACCCATCCAGTTTTGGCACCCGAACTACTGCATGAAATTATTCTGTTGTGGCGGATGTGAATGGGAAATGGAGTAGTTATTAGGACTATTTAGTAGTTATTAGTAGTAGTTATTAGGAGTAGTAGTAGTTATTAGGACTATTTTTATTAGGACTATTTAGGACTTTATAGGACAATGTGAAATAGTCCTATATAGAAATTTTTAGGACTTTATAGGACTATGTGAAATATTCCTTTATAGGACTTTTTAGGAATTTATCGGACTATGTGACGGACTAGTCCTTTATATTTATATTTTTTGGACTAGTCCTTTATAAGACTATTCCACATTTGATGATGGCTAAATCCAAGTATTTACGATAGTTAATAGAATAGAATAGAAGTGTCGGCACTGAAGAAATAGGCCCATGGCCTGTTGCCGATTCTTGAATTTTTCGTGACTTGATTCACAATGGATCCGGCCTTTGGAACCCGATCTCTCCATAACTGACGATTGATTGAGATAGCTGCTGGACTTATTGCCTGGTCCGTAATTTTAATAATGCCATTCATGAACCAAGAATCTTTTTTTTTCGTAAAGTAATTATGATAATTATCCATTTGTCTTCTAACAGGAACGTTAATTACTTTTTAGTAAAGCTAGCTCAATAAATATAGCGTTCGAGACAGCTGATGTATCCGTATAGGGACAGGGATACAGACACCTCAAAATCGGGTACACATCAAACTCTTGTTCCTGCCTACAATTATCACTCTAAAGCACTGGTAACTCAAGCTGATACCCCAGAACCCAAATCCCACAACTCAGGCTGATGCCCCATATCTCTCTAACGCAGATGTCCTCACAACTCACGCTTATACCCTCACAGCTCACGCTTATACCCTCACAACTCACGCTGATGAGGCCGCCACTCTCACAGTCGACGTCGACGTAGTCTAGCGTGAGCTGCACACGCTGGTTCGCCGCCCCCGCGACGTAGACCCCGCACACCGTCGCGTCACCGCTGCTCTTGTGGTAGTAGCTGCCCTCCTCCAGCCCTACGGCGATGCAGTCTGGCCGCGCATCGGGTAATATTGTTAAATACAGATATGGTATATGCTATATGGTATGTGGTGTATGGTATATGATATATGGTATTTGATATATGATATGTGGTTAACGCCGTATTGAAAGGGTGTAATAATCGTATCGGGATGCGCGTATATAAAATAATTATAATGGGATGTAATGGGTTGTAATGCAATGGGATGTTTGTAATGAACAATTTTTATTCGATTAAAAAAATTATGGGATGTGAATAAGAAAACTTTAAACTATGTATTAAATGAAAAGAATTATGGATTGGTTATATAAGACAGCATAACGCATGAACATGTCTGGACATACGGCAATAAAGTTTTGATGGAATATCGTGTTATTATCTTAATGCGAGAAAAGGATAGTAGATCGAATGCAATATCCAGCTGAAATGAATACTATGTATTTAATTAAGAAACCTAATAAGTATGTATAAAATAGTGCATTACGTATGTATATGTCTGGAGCCGCAGCGTCTCACAATAAATGCGTTTAATACAATTAAACTAATATAAGAACCTGAATAAATAGATCATTAATCAATTTTAAATAGAACAAAGGTCGGTGATTACTCACTATTAACAAATGTCATGAAGTCAATTCATGCGAAATGTGAAAAAAATTGTTGTTAATTGGATTGACAATCAAATAAAATTACCAGGTCTTCTATTTTATTTGAAGTGATAGATGGCAATTCTAGCAAAAGATTTGCGCCAAATGCCTCGTGACGTTTCGTCCAACGGTTTTTAAACGAAAAGAAGTAACAAATTTGGCTTTCGACATAGCATTAGTTATAAAATTGTGTTGCTGATAGTTGTATTGTTTCTTACGACATAACATAAGTTTATGAAATTATGTTGCTGATAGAAGTATTGTTTCTTATGACATAACATAAGTTTATGAAATTATGAAATTATTGTGCTGATAGTAGTATTGTTTCTTACGACATAGCATGCGTTTATAAAATTATGGTGCCGATAGTAGTATTGTTTCTTATGACATAACATTAGTTTATAAAATTATGGTGCTGATAGTAGTATTGTTTCTTATGAAATAACATTAGATTATAAAATCGGGCAATTACGATACTCAATTAATAAAATTGTGTAAGATTTTAAAGAACATTTCATTTTTCCACTTGAGTTTGGTTAAATGTTTGAACAATCAATTATCGTTCATTAACACTCTTTATAATGGTGTCGTTAATACAACATGGAACAGGGCTGTTATGAACGTGAGGAGATTTTGTTCTATTATTCAATGGCTAATACAAGGTCATCAAGCTTAGTCTAACGAATCTTTAAGGATATAAAAGTGAACTGAAAGAGTTTATAACTATACAAAAATGTCTTTTATAACTCTTCGGTCGCGCAAGCTGAGCTTTTAAAGACCACTAATAAGGTCCCCACACTTCTACAGTGGCTCTTATCCAGCAGCAATCGCCTTGTTATGGCTGATCCAGATGGATCATATAAATTGGCTTCTCTTCTTACCTTTGATGAGCTGCGAAGACCGCTTGGATCTGAGGGACTGCAAGCCACGCAGCTGGCTTAGGCTGGCGCTGCTCGACACCTGCACACACAACCTCAACCATCAGGCACAAGTTCATGGCATTGAAAGTATTTTTGTGATCTTTAAATTATTTTCGCAATGTTGAAATAATTTTTGCGATGTTAAAATAATTTTTGCGATATTGAAATTATTTTCGATGCTGAAATAATTTTCGCGATGTTGAAATTATGTTCGCAATGTTGAAATCATTTTCGCGATGTTGAAATAATTTTCGCGATGTTGAAATTATTTTCGCAATGTTGAAATTATTTTCGCAGTGTTGAAATCATTTTCGTGATGTTGAAATAATTTTTGCGATATTGAAATCATCTTCGCGATGTTGAAATCATCTTTGGGTTGTTGAAAGTATATATCTACGAGCTATATATATGGTGTCCTCGGCCAGAGTTTACGGTTTCAAAGGAATACAGAGAATTGTTAACAATTTAGATGACCAAAGAATGCAATGGAACATATACGAAATTTATTTATATACTATGTAATATTTTTTATATAAATGATCAGTGTAGTTACATATAAAATATGAGTACGCATCAAATTAAGAAGAGCGTGTGTTTGGTAAATTCAGTTTACCACTTGAAAATGACTTTAAAATCATGCACAGATAACTTTTGATCATGATTAGTTTATGGTCAAGACTAATTTGAGAAAAAAAGTACACTAGCGGACAAATAATTATTGATGGAAAAGAAGCAAATAAAAAATATCAGCTGCCACAATAGAAAATAAAGCGCATAATAATACAGCAAATTTTTTACATTATAAAGTCATTCTTCACATTCGCTTCCGCATAGTGCAGTACTGCAGGCGTACAGTTACATTGTATGAATGCAATTATGACCTAAATAAATTTGGTACCAACCAATAGCATTCTTCTTTTGAGTCCACATTCTTGAATATGTATGTCCAAAGGTCAGTATATGTTAGAAACGCTGGCTGTTGATGACACGCGTTTAATTTTCCTTTGTTACAGGAAGCTTGCGTTAGGCCATAACAGCCTCTGTAACCTCATCAGCTCAGTCATCTCACGTAGGCCCGGAACAGCAAGGGTTGCCTACGGAGCTACCAAGTTTTACGCGGTTCAGAGGAGTAGATACTCGTAAATGATGGTGGTTAAAACGGATATTGTACTGCTTATCTTCTTCCCGGTAAATAACTGGAACGCGTTTCGGTCATGCTAAACTGTTACTGGCAAAGAAGCACTCATTTAGATATAACACCTTAACAGAGCATCGTTACCATTTAGGATGGATTGTAGGACGTGACTTAAAATACTTGCGAGCATAGAAAATCTTCACCATGGTATCGTAAATTCTTTAAGGAATCAAGAACAATAAAGCTTGATACTGATATTAAACAGACGTGAGCGTTGAATTTACTGTCAAAGGTGATTCAACGTGCATCGAGGAAGTGAAGGAGTTCTTAGTAAACACATTCTTCCACGTGGGAAGGCACTTCCTAAGCTAAACGCTCAGATGAAGAATGCATAATTTGTTTACTCATCCTCTACTAACGACCGAAGGATGTGCCGGTATGGACCTCGAAGGACTTTAGAGGCATTGTGTGCGATCATCCTCCACCTAATGGCACTTTCAGGAGATTTCTCTAGGACATCGCAGGGCATCGCTACCTCATGAATAAAGACTGAAGAGTTTCTGGTAAAAGCATAACCAGGTTCTTTGGGATGAAGCTGCCTCGCTGACGGGAGCCAAGGAGGATATGATCCGGTTATATTAAAAAAGTGATAGTAGTTGGATAAGCAGTATGAAAATCATATAGACAGACTGCTTTTATGAGAAAATTTAATTTAAAAAGCATAATTATCCTGTCACATACCACATGCGCTTTCAAGATAACTTCAAGCTGTATTATCTGTACATATTCATCGCATGCCAAGCGAGTATCGTCAAGAGACCAGTCGTTCCTACAGTTACAGATGTAAAATTTAGTGTAAGCCGTATTGCCTCCAAGTTCAGTATAGTGAATATAGTATAGATATTTCGCCTCCTAGTATTATGAAGTTCAGGAGGAATATCAACATATGTGCTTTCAAATGGTTATATTCAGAATTTTCGGTTAACATGTAATTACGATGTATAGTTTCTGTAATTTGAATACAGATATTAGCAACGAATCTAATAATTTAAACATTTCAATGCAAGATATAGGTGAAGAATTCCATAATCTAAACATTTCGGTTCAAAATGTTAGCTAGACTATTTAAGACAATAATTCATGAATAAATGGTAGGATAGTAAAACTAACTTACCGAAATAATTCTCTCCTACAGCAGGTATGCGCTGAATGCAATGTCAAGTAAACTTCGATGTCAGTGTGAAGTGTCAAGTAAACTTCGGTACTAAGAAAAAATTCAACTAAAGGTCGGAACATAAATGTTTACAAAAAATATGAAATTGTGATTGCATTTACTCATCAAACAGTATTTGTTATATTGTCAAGTTGAGGTGGATTGGAACAATTAGTACTTTGAGATTTTACTTAGATATTATACATATTATTACTTTTCTCCATAAGCAAATTTTAGGCATCAATAATCAACTAATGTTCTATTCCCATTTCCTTAAGAAAGGAAATGTGAAATTCCCATTTAAGTCCATTTCTGCACGAAAGTTTTTCAAATTTTGTAGAACAAGCATCTTTCGGGATTTTAAATGCGATTCAATTTATTTTGTAAATAAACCATTTAAATAATCATCTTCGTTGATCATTAAACTCGACCGAAATCTGGGCATTATTTTCAAGCCCATGCGTTTTTTCATCAATATGGAAATGAAAATGGCAAACCAAAAATTGTGAAAAGAGTGCAAACGCAACCGTTTTCATAATTCTCACGCGTGATGCTTGTACACTGGAGTCGCATAGTGAAGTTCGCATTTTTGGGTTCAGCGAAAATGCAAGTAAGTCTCTAAGCCAGAAATTCTCAAGAATTTGCACCATCTAATTTCCATAAGAAACGTTTTACATTAGAATCGCCATTCTTTCGTTACAATTGTCACACCATGATTTAAAATTACCGCGAAACTTACAATCACTCAGAATAAAAAAGGCAGCCATTGCGCTGAAAGGAAAACTGACCAAACACGTCCGAAACTGCTACCTTAAAAGGCCAGTGTCGGGTTGGCCGTACTCAGGGGTTGGGTAAATGCTTCACTAGCTGACAATGACTGGAATAACAGCCTTGCTTTACCGCCATGTTGAAAATGTGCTCGGAGGAGAGGAACAAAACTTTCAGTTCAGTGTTAGTTTACAACTCAGCGGGTACGTTAAGACAGCACGAAAAATCAAAATGTGATTATATTATCAAGAACAAGTTGAAATGAAGACTATTTTTTAGGAACAGAGGTCAAGTTTTTTCAAACTGTTAATGTTTGTTTGTAAATTAGAGTGTGGAACTTTGAAAGCCGTGTTTAATAGATAATGTTGAATAATCCCAATCGATCCAAAATGAGTTTGAAAATCTTGCTGAATACGATGCATGCATTCGTAAATTTGTGATCAACTCCACTGGATCAAATGAGGTCCAAACTTCTAAATTTTTGCAGAATTTTGACGTTTATTTAGAACGTTCCAAGTTCCAATTGACATCTGTTGATTAACATTGAGTAAAATTGCAAGATTTTAAAAGAATATCAATAGCGACTATAGACAAAATTATTTAAATGGTTAATAGTCAAAGTCCGAAAATTATACAGGATTCACGCGGAAACTTCCTGTTTTATATTTCACACCAAACAGACAGATGTAGGAAAAAAGCGGGGAATATTTAATATAAAAAGCAAGGTCATGGAGTTTTATTTCATGCTTGGTCACTTGCCACTATACATTGGACAAGTGAGCAGCGTGCGCTTGCTGTCACGGTGTACATTAATAATGGCTGTTCCATTATAGCTATTCAACGAGCATTCCGTAGGCGGTTCGGTATTCGTACGTCAGATCGGTTTTCTGATCGGAAATTGATTGTTACGTGGGTGAACACAGTTAGAGTAAGTGGAAGTGTGAATGTAAGAGGGTCGGGAGGTCAACGGACTGTCACAACATGCGAAAAAAAGTTACGAGAATTACACAGGCGGGTGTTTCTGCGTTCTTCACACTTTCCGAGACAACTTTTTGCAGAGTGCCTCATCTCCTTGAGAGGTGACCGTCTTTGGTGACCTTCTTCATTTGGCTCCATGTGATTTTTTCATGGGGTTATCTTAAATTAATTGTTCATAATGACAGTCCAATGACCCTACTGCATTTGAAGAATAATACACGCCAAGCCATCGCCAACATATCCGTCAGTATGCTTCAAAGAGTTGAACGGAACTTTAAAAATCGACTAACAGAATGCATTGACAATGGGGGTCTGATTCTATTCATTTGTCTGATGTCATTTTTGAAACAACGTGATAGAAAAATTCAGGCATTGCATTTTCAACAAAATTAATTATGTAAAGATATCTTTGATGATTATTTTTTATTGAGCTTTCAAATAAGGATGTTTCTGTGAATCACCCTGTAAGGAAGATACAAATATGAAGCACTAAGCGTATATTCATATAATATATCAGTATATGAAAGCGTTAGAAGCACCAAGCGTCAGAAGTTTGAAAATATCGACCGTTTTTTCTCTGCAGATGCAACGGTTGTCTTTGGCATCCAAATGGCACCAAAGTATGCAAATCAAATCCAAGCCTAACTACAACCCCCAATCCACTTCCCAAGCCACACTAGAAGGGATTCCAGAGATCAACCAAATCCCCAAATCTCAACATTAGGAGCAGATCTTGCCTCTGAGTGGCATGAGCTTAGAGCGAGAGCCTCAGGCAGGCTGTCTGACCAGCAAACAGTTCGGTAAGGTGAAGACGAGTTGTTTCCAATTGTATCCAAAAAATGATTTTGTCCTTAGCACGATTGTGAATGTTTTAGGTTGGCCCTAAGTAGTGCAATAGGCGTCGTAAGTGTTGGTTGACTTTATTATCATAAAAACATAAATTGCT